GGGTTTTTTTTCTTTTTTTTTTTTTTTTTCATATGAAAGGTATCTTTCTGGGACACTATGAAGCAGTGACTGGCCTGCCACTTTGCAAGATCCATGAGAGAAATTTAAAATTCTCTTCCTGCCTGTACCCTAGAAACATACTTGTGCTTGTATAGTACAGCTGACTTTTCACTTCCTACTTTCTGTCCACATGACCCAGAGAAGGTCCATTTTTCTCACAGTACCATGTCCCTCCAGTGAAGTAAGTATCCTGATCCCTAATAAGGGCCTTTCCCCCATATTTCCCATTCACCCTTTCTGTCATCCCAAACTGGACTCACAATTCCATGCCCCTCCTGCAATAAAATTATTTGATACCATAATAAGGGCCCTTTTTTGGCCTGGAAGTTCCAGCTCCTCTCTCCACTTTCATGCACCTGAGTGATGGTCTTTGCAACCTATATTACCTGAACTTATCCTCACTACACTCGCTTTGACCCTGAAGATGGTGGCAACATGTCCCTGCAGAACATTGGTATATGCCTACAAGATCACAGTGTCACAACCCAGAAGACTGCAGCCTGAATGCTTACTGCTGTGAAAATGTATATGTAATTGTACTTCAACCTTTTGGGGCATGCAGTAGCACAGTTGGTTGAGGCACTATGGGACAAGCTGTAAGGTCACAGGTTCGAGTCCCAATTAGGTCATTGGATTTTTTCAGTTTATCTAATCCTTCCAGCCACATTATGGCCCTGGAGTTGACTCAGCCTCTAACAGAAAGGAGTACTAGAATCTTCCTGGGGGGGGGGTAAAGGATGGCCAGCGCATAAGGCTGACAGTGTTACCACGATCTGTGAACTGATTGTCTAGAAGATGTGGGAGCCTTGACCTCTCACATCCCTGTGAACCTTCGAGCCTGTTACAGGGACAGCATTACCCTTTTTTTTTTTTTGCTTCAACCCTTCCTTTGTATTTCCATTGTATGAGCTACAGATTACTTTTTATGAAAATTTATTGAACAAAAAAAATGACATTGGTGTGGAGCTGTTATATTTATGGGCAAGCATACTTCTAAGTGAGATGTTTAAGGATATAAAGAGCAAAGGTGGAATACTCAGCATACCAGTATTTGTAAGTTGGTGGCAGAGGGTTTATTATTTATTGTATTGTTGAACAGATCTTAGTCCAAATGAAATCAGTTTTCAATTTCTGATTCTCAGTATCAAAGTTTGGAGTGTTGAATCTTTGACTTCTGAATGCACATACCGACCTGCACATCTACACCAAGTGTCCTCTGTGTGCACACATCCACAAGATGGCAGCAGTGTGTTTGCTTCATGTTCACTCGATGGCATGGCTCTTATATGGGATACTCGAAATGCAAAGCCTGCCAGAGGTATGAGAATAGTTTTTATAAATGTTGTATATAGATTGGTGTATCTGTGTGGAGACTAACTCATTCAATACAGAAGTCTGGACTGGAGTTGTATCTGCCCATCAGAACAGGCCTTCATGGTTTCTTTTTCTTTTGCATAAATGTGCATGCAGGTCTGTCAAATCAATACTCATTTAACAGACTGTAAAACAACCAGATAATTTGGTAAATTATGTGTAAGGACATGTGCTTATTATGAGTATTAACTGTCTCTTACACAAAATCTTTATCTGGAAATTATACATAATAGCCAGTTATTCATAAATTCCAGTTAATGACTATTATCCTTAACATATGCAAGTATTAGTGGTTTGAATTTTCATAATCATGCTTTGTTGCCACATTTCTCTAGCATCTTACAAGTAAATTAAAATCATTGGAATAATTAACAGACACTGTATGTTTGGGATTTGGACTTAAGGATGTTGTAATTTGTTTCAGTTGCTTTGAATGATGGCTCACAAGGGTTAACATCAGTTGCTTGGCACATGTCACAAAGTGATTTATTGGCTGTTGGTTCAAATTCAGGAGACATAATAATGATAGATGTCCGACAATTGAAAGAACCACTTGGGTTGTCGTGCTGTTTTATTCGTCCAATTCATCGCTTAAGATTTGCCCATCATTGGTAAGTTAACATTGTGGACTGGAGTCAGGTGGCTCAGGATTAGGTCCATTCTTTGGCTTTTGTGAAAATGGCAATGAGCCTTTGGATTCTATAAAAGCAGATATTTTTTTCACCAACTGAGTGACTATCAACTCAAAACACTGTACCCTACAGTTGGTTGGTGAGCAATGTAGCTGGATTACACATATGGTTGTGTTTAATTACAGGCCGGAATTGCTAGCAGTGTGTGCAGATGACTCCAGACTGAAGGTGCTAGATTGTACTGCCAGTTCTCCGACTGTAATGTGAGTATTGTCGCTGTATGTTTGAGCCCTATGCGATTCACAGTTCAGTGCAACTTGTATGTCAGATGGCAGAACTAGAATCTTACTCTTTATTCATATCACCAGCTTAGGTGTGAACTCCTGATTCTGCAGATTAACTCTAAGATAACATGTTAATCCAGCCAGAATAATGCATTCCCCACCCCCACTTTTGCAGTAGTAAAAGCTGAGTTGTATGGATATGAGTCTATCCATACAAATAACAATTTTTTATTCAGATTCCTCTTGAACAAATGCTGAGTCAAGGATTTTCATAACTTCAGCTAAATGTTGTAGATATACTGTTGCATCTTTTAAGAAATGTATAGAAAAATGGAGCAGCTCCTGTACCCCCAAGATGTGTTCTGGCTTTTTAACAATAGTAATTAAAGTAAATATAAGTAGCAGGTTTTCTCCAAGTACTTCGGTTTACCCTGCCAATCTTCATTCCACAAATTGCTCCACAATCACCCTCACCTATCATCTGGTACAATAGGCCAGAAGTGGCCACAGTGCAAGGGACTTAGTCCCACCCCACTAGCAATAATAATAAATAATAAACTAAAGCTATCCCTGTAACAAGCCATGAAAGCCCATAGGGTTGTGAGACATTGAGGGTCCCACATTATCTAGACAGTCGGCTCAAAGATGGCAGTAAGGTTGTCAGCCTTACGTGCCGGCCACACTTTACTCCCCAGAAAAGTTATTTAATTAACTCCTGGTACTCATTTCTGTTGGAGGCTGAGTCGACCCCAGGGCCATGGTGCGGCTGGAAGGATTAGGTCAATTGAAAAACTTAAAGGAATATTATTATAATTTTATGATATTGGCATTGTAACACATGTCAGGATAATTTAGGCTACATAAGTACATTACAGACTACAAGCTGGCCCTTTCATATCCTTTTTTCAGAAGGGTTCTGACATAATTTCCTTACACAGATTCACTATCGGAGGCCCTTTGTCTCCAAATTTACATATTTACTGCCATGTTGTAATTGTGTTGTGTGCCCTATTGTTGTACTTTACAACCTTTGATATGTTATCTGGTAATCTGCACATAGGCGGAACACTTGTATGGAATTTTACATTTTCTCATACCATAGTCTGTTTTCCTTTGCTCATTATGTGGCACTAAAGAACTGAAAGCTTTTGTCACCTTCTCCTGTCTCTTAGAGCTGTTTGTGATGATGTACCACCAGATGTGTTCTGAAATCTTTTCATGAATCATTTCCTAATACAAAAACACGGTGATGTGACAAGGTCGAAGCATTGTGTAAATACCTGACTGTGGGAGGGTTGAGTTTTGTACTGCATGCAGTCGGGTACTTTTAGTAGGGATCGTCCACAGATGTGATCACATGTCTCTAAACTGAATTTAATACTGTAATGTATTGTTCAAGATAACAATATGAAATCTATATTTCTTCAGATATGAAGATGACCGCCATGATGACTTTGTGCGTGGATTGGCATGGCACCCCAGAAGTGAGAGTTTATTCTCATGTGGTTGGGACAAGCAAGTGTTGGCACATAAGTTTGCTCTTTCTCGTAACAAAATGGAGGTAAATGGTATAATTGAGAAAGATGTAGATCAAGAACAGAACTGAAAAAAAAAGAAGGAAGAATTTCTGTATTTTAACAGGGAATCTCTGTAACATTCCTTGTGGTAGGCCAGAAGGTCACAGGAGAATATCTTTATATCATCGTAAATATAAGAAATACAGTGGAACCTCTGTGAAGTTTTTTGTTTCCACTTGTTATGAATTTTGGGATTCTCACAACATTGAATGTTAAGACTGCAGTCTGAATTATGATGCCATGCAATTCTGGTAGATAGATCATTTATCATTATATCCTGTTGTGTTTTTTATTGTGTTATAAGTAAAACTGTTTTTTTATCTTTTAAAAGCACAACTCTGTATGCTGGCTGAAAAGTACTGAAAATCCAGTATATATTTTGCCCTGTATTGATCATCTTGAGGTCATACAATATCAGAAATGTTAACTAGTGAATTATTAGTCTAAGTTGAAACATTGATCTAATTATCCACAAATGTATGTAGCTTTCTCATGCTTGCTTTGTGAGATGATGATATGCCATTATTCCTTGGTTGTTCAAAGTCATAGATTAAAATAGTGTATGCTAAAACAAGATAAAATGTAAAAAGAAAAAAGAGATTGTGTTTTGTTGCAATAATGCTGAAGGAAAAACTTAGTGGTGTCAGTTAGGTCTAGTAGGTAGATACCAGTATTTCAGAGGAACAAGGTGTCTGTCGTTTGGGTAGAAGATGGAGCAGCAGTAGAAAATGTGAACAGGTTCCTCTGAAATGGTACCTATTTACAGAACTACACAGTGTTCCATTGTAGAAAATCATGATTTTATTACCCAGTGCTGTGAGAGTACGTGAGGTGTCACAAATTAGTTTCAGTTGTGACAGTGATAAGTGATGTTGCACGTGAAGAAATGGTGTTTCAATCAAACACGAAAATATAAAAATATCTGAATAACACATAAATGCATCAAAGAAGGTGGTGAAATTAAAAATACAGAATGACATAAGGCTTATGGTAGAAGATGTCTTTTTTGTTATACATTTCCCCTTCTGTTCCCTTGTTTGTATTTTTGTGACACTTTGGTAGGATATTAGGGTCATTCCACATCAAATAAATGCAGGCCACAACCCAACCCCTTAGAACTGAATGGTTTTCTGTGAGATTGTAGTACCAGTGGATAAGGCATTAGTTAAATTTTAGTGCTTTACAGTCATTTGATTTTGGAGGGCAGACATTCAGAGCTGTAAAAAAAAATCATTGTTTTGGGTTCAAGTTATAGAGAAAGTGAATAAGATCTAAAAGTCCTGTTTTTATTTATTTAATACCCTATTAAATAAATAAAAACAGGACAATGGATAATTTACAGAAATAACAATAATTGTACAAAGAAAGCATAAATTCTGCACTAATTGAGATAGCTCATCGTATGATAATTTCAAAGCTACTATGTCAGTTAAGGCAGAAGTTTTCCCGCTTTTTCTAAGACAACTTGTGCTCAAGAAATGAGCTTGAAAACTTGGGAGTCTACTCTCAAAATTCCAGTGGGCATAAAATTTGGTACCACAATCTTACAAAAAATCGTTCATTTTTGAGGGAGCTGAATTGGTAGTGTGTTATTTCTGTGTTGATTTGATGTGGTATGATCAGTTCAACGGTTCCAGCAATTTCAAACAGTGGTGCTCAGCCTTAACCTTACCACGTGCTGCTTTCTTCAGGCCCAACACGTACACCAGTGAGACTTCAGTTAATACAGATACATATTTAAAGCTCACATCTAGTAGTTTGTGAGTCACATATTTACATTTTAAAGAAAAGAAAGTTTGTCTTGTAAAGTATTCATGTGACATTTGTAGCATCACAATATGCCATGAATTGATCATTGCCTGAAACCATCAAATGTGAAAGTTTTGTAAAAGAAAGTTGTATCCTTACCAAAGTAAATTGTATACAGATGTATGAAAACACAGTTCTGCAGATTACAGACTAACAACACAACAAAGAGAAAAAAAAAACATGCCCGCTACTGACTCTGAATGAAACCAAATCATGAACAGAAGCCAGTGCTTGGACACAGAGATGGAGGTCCAGTGATTGCATTCAATTGCAGTGCATAATTCTTTTTCAGAAATATGTTGGAAAGATATATAACCATTTGTCAGTTTCTTCTATCTTAAAAAAATGAAAAGTAAGTATGGTGCTCAGTGTGCAGGGGCATACGTTTAAGAGCCAAAGAACATCAAATCTTTAGGCTGTTTATTGGGTTCATGCAGGCCACTGTGCTCTAAGGTTACACCAGCTGAAAGACTAAATTCCAGGCAAGTAATCACTGAGGGAGGAATATCCTGTCATTTGGTAGGAGAAACCTGCCAATTTATTGTATACATTCTTTTCCTAAGTAAACAAAATAGACTTAAGTCACTATTTACTGTGTGTGTCTGACATCTTCTCCTTTCAACTTTTGAATCAACTGGCAATGGGAAGCCAACTTCATGATTTCCTTGCATTCTTTAGGGAAATAATTGTGTTGCCCTGCTTTGTAAACAATGCACTTAAAAGTACCAGTATTAGTTAGAACTGTTCTATGAGTTGTATTTTCAATTTAATTTAATTGAAGCCAGTCAGAATTCAACTTTCTTATTCTAGAAGGGCTTTACTGCAGACCACTAGTGTATAATTAAGGTTTATTAAATGGTTTCTGCTGTAGGCTCTGGCACTTTATTTTGTACATTAATTTTGTTTGTAATAAACACAAGTGTAAGAGGTGATAGTAGGGTCCCACCCCACATTCTCAGTTTGCTGAAGAAAATTACCATTTGGGCATGCAGGGATAATTGTGGTTTAACATATTTCAAGATTACTGCCATCTGGGATGTGACTGTAGTTTGGTAGATGGGTAGCAACATTTTGGAGGAATCTGCTGCCTCTATCATCAGGATGGATTAATTAATTACTCTTACATACTCCTTTACCTTAGAGGTGGATGCAGCAGATTCCTTCAAAACATTGGTACCATCTATCAGACTATAAGGTCTACTTGGTGGAAGACCATCTTGATTCTTCATTACCAGTGAAATTATCAATTGAACTACATCCCATCACTTAGATATACCATGGCTAAAACATGTAGTGTTGTACGTTACGCCACCAGTAGATGATAGTTTATTCTATTTTCATCATGATGGGAACCAAAATTGCAGCATTGAAATAAATAAATCAATCAATCAATCATACAGGGTGCATCCAATCCATTAGGTTGCCTACTCAAAGAAGACACACATGGTCAAAATTATTTTTGAAAAACAGTAGTAATCGGCACATTTGGAGCTCGGTAATCCGATGTTTCCAATCGAATGCGTGCCTAACCATCGGAAACTCTCTTATCATATTCCGCACATTTCTCATTGGTCGTGCGTTAACATTCTGCTGCAACCGTGACAGGATCTGTAACATTAAAACGTATCCTACGCTACGAAGGATACGAAGCTTACATAGCGTACCGGAAGTAATCAATACCTACGGATGTTAAGTATGAATACATGTTACTTTGAGTTGGATGTAATAATCCATAAGACTTAATAACTGAAAAGTCACGAATGATTGACTATAACACGCCTTTTACATAACTAATACCATTTTTTAATGTAATTTTATGTTTTCGTACTTCTACATATAAAAGTACTGCATATTTTATTGCGCGGAAGCGAGGTTCGCTAGCTGTTCAAGGTGAGAGAAAGCTTAGTGTTTCTTCTAGTTTTGTCATTATTTTAGAGAAAGGGATACCAGTTACATTTTTATAGTTATTTTTAAGTTCACATACTATTGTCTTGCGTCCTAGGTCAACGTGGGCAGAGAGAACGAAGTGAATATGACCCAGTTTCTCCCACCCAATTTACTAGCCCTTTTTGCTCCACGCGATCCCGTGCCCTATCTTCCTCCACCGGATAAGTTACCCCATGAAAAGAAAAATCGTGGTTATGTTGGAGTTGGCGGATTTCTGCAGTATTTTGAGGTAAATTCATGACATTTGATATAGGTTCAAGTTTGATTAGTGTATTATATTTTTACTTTGAATTATATAATCTTGAGATTTACAGTTGGAAACAAGAAACATGAGGATCACGTTTAAGTGCCATACATACAGACATTGAAAGCGTTTATATTTTTAAGATGCCTTTATTATTTTCTTAATGTGGCATGTTAAGTAATGTATACGTCTTCCCTTCTTTAATAGGATCCAAAGGACACCCCTCCACCTACAAGGGTGGAGACAAGAGAGGAACGTATGGAACGAAGGAGACGAGAGAGGGCAGAACAAGTTGCATATAAGCTAGAACAAGAGATTGCTGTCTGTAAGTTAAGTTTGTAATAGTGCTAGAAACAGTGTCACATTTATAAGGATCTAGGAAGTAAAACTGAATGAAACATCTTGATGGGGTGAATAACCTGCCCACAAAAAAGAAGTAAATAATGTTTGACTAGCAGAAGAGCTGGTCAAGAAAAGATTTTTTTTCTCAGGGAAACTGAGGGCTCAGGTCTGCCCGGGTCCAGGATTGGAGTACTCTGATGTCATTGTTGGCGAGTGATGGTATGCGGGATGCCCCGCTGCCAGTGGCTCTGGAGTGGATATCATTATATCAGTGTCCAGCTTGGTTGGGCATGGATCTGTGACCTTTGGCAGTTGGGGGCTGTTAAAGGATAGCAGTACTGGGGGCACACAGTGAACACAGAGGGTATCTGAATTCTTAGTGACTGAAAGTTGTCCCTCCAGAGTCATAACACAACATCCTAATACTCCATAAACAACATTAATTGTTTTGGTGTTCATGTTGGATATGCTGTAGGTAGTGGATGTTTATATGTTGTTTCTTCTTGCAGGGGATCCTCACAGTATTCCAACTGCTACTGGTGATCCTTTCAAAACATTGTTCGTAGCTCGCATTGTAAGTGTGACTCTAGATGTCAGTAGTTTTCAAGCCCCATTTCAGTTAATTAATACTCTGGTTATAAAGATGATGTTAATAACAGCTGGACTTCGTTTTTCTTCCAGAACTATGACTCTTCAGAGTCAAAATTGCGAAGAGAGTTTGAAGTGTATGGACCAATAAAAAAGGTGAGAATTTACAGTACTACTGAATTTAAGCCTATAGATTTTTGGGGATGGAGACTTCAGAAATACAATGGAACATCAATTTAGTGTTTTTCAACTAAAGCTTTTCCATCATTTTATGTTCATTTCAGTAATTTCAAGTCAATAAATTTAGTGTTAAATTTGAAATAGTTTTCCACAGCTGATGTTCAAATCTGTTAGCCTCTAAAGAAACCATACCTGGAGTTTCCACTGTGTAAGCAAGTCTTACAAGGATTCCTAGGAAATGCTGTAGGTACTTGAAACAGCTACATTTCATCGAAAGTATTTTGATTTTATACAGATGTTTACAATTTTATCTGGAGATCTAGTAGTACATCTGATTATCCTTGCTGTTGAAGGTGACGTACATTTTTCTTTTTGCAAGGGAATCCAAGGGGTGTAAAATAGGTTGTCTGCAAATGTCTTCTGGACAGAGTAAAGTAAAAGTAAAAAGTAAAGCTATCTCTGTAACAGGCCGTGAAGGCCCATAGGGTTGTGAGACGTTGAGGGTCCCACATTGTCTAGACAATTGGCTCAAAGATGGCGGTAAGGTCGTCAGCCTTACGTGCCGGCCGCGCTTTACTCGCCAGGAAAATTATTTAATTAATTCCTGGTACTAATTTCTGTTAGAAGCCGAGTTGACCCCAGGGCCGTCATTGCCATCTGTGAGCAGATTGTCAAAAAACATGCAGCAGCCTTGACATCTCACAACCCTTGGGCCTGTTACAGGGATAACTTTACCTTTTCTTTAAACATTTTGAGACTCTTGATATATCAGACTAAATGATATATCCATGTAACAGGCCCATAGGGTTGCAATATGTCAGGGCTGCTCATGTTTTTAGACAATCTGCTCACAGATGGCAATGAGGTTGTCAGCCCAAGGTGTCGCCCATCCTTTAGCCCCCAGGAAGATTCCTGGTACTCATTAAAGGCTGAGTTGACCCCAGGGCCATAGTGCAGCTGGAAGGATTAGGTCAATTGAAAATTATGCCCCAATAATAAATGTTTTTCTGAGAAGAAAAGTAATGCTGTCTTGTAAGTACTTCTTGTCAGACATCATGTATTATAATGCACAGGACATTGTTGCTGTCCCTGTAATAAGTTGGTTGTTGATATAAATGATTATTTGAAACTTTTCATTATATTATGGCTTGTTTCAGATTGTGGTGACCCACAATACAGTGAATGGCAAGCCACGGGGCTATGCATTCATCGAATATGAGCACGAGCGGGACATGCACTGTGAGTAAAACTGGACTCCCTTGCTGCCGGGTAGCCTGCTCTGATGGCACAGTTAAGAGATCAGAAGATCCCAGCTCCCATACTATTGAGTCGGTCACATGACCTATATGTGTGTGAATGCGTGTCATAATACTCTGGATCAAGATCTGGCCAGTCATGGAAGCTGATTCCTCCTACAGTAGATTATTGCATTTCAGTTATCCTAAATCATCGTGATCACTAGCGTAGAGTCCTTTGTTATTCAGTGTTCTGCATTGCAACCCTGGACACTACTTTTACACTTAATGTTTCCCATCCTCTTGGTCATCAGTCTGTATCAGTTTCCTCTGGTAATATTATATCTCAGCATCCTGTTGCATTGAGTTATAATTTATGGTCTTGTTTTCTATCCGTAATGCAACAAAGTTAATTTAACAACATTAATGCACTAGATGTTCGCTAAATGTTTATGCTACATGTTTCAGCTGCATAGGGCCATCTTCAGGCAACATTTTTTGAAGGAGTATGGCACTGTGCACTTTGTCAGATAGTATTCAACAAGGCACATGATTGTTGTTATTTTTTCTTTCTTTTTTAAATGCTGCTGTAGGATGATTTTTTTCCTATCTTATATATTGCGGCTGTTTTCGTGTCCCATTGGGTGTGCCACTTTCTTAGTTTTGCGTATCTGTTGTTTTGTGTTCCTTGTACAGTACAAGATGATCCTTAGAGTCAAAATTGCGAAGAGGTTTGAAGTGTATGGACCAGTAGAAAGGTCAGAATTTAGAGTATTACTGAACCTAAGCCCATAGATTCCCAAGGATGGAGATTTCAGAAGTACAATGGAACACCCGTTTAGTGTTCATCAATTTAAGCTTTTCAGTCATTTAGTGTTCATATATATAAGAAGAGAATCGTTCTACAACATCAATATTAAAAAAAATTAATAACAACAAAGACATTCCTAATGAATACTGTCTGGCCAAATGCACAGTGCAGTAGACTCAGTTTAAAAATGTGTTTCCTGAAGATGGCCCATTGCAGCTGAAACATGTAGCATGAAAACAAATGTACATATATTTTAATGACATTTAATGAATTAACCTTTATCGGACAGGCCATTTAATTTCCGGTAGGGGCAGCTGGACGGAGTTTATTTAAATGCCCGACCTTCTAGAGCAATGAAATTGTAAGCATGTTTCTAAAAATGGTGTGATTTCTACATTTTTTATGATAAACGAACGAAATGAATGCTCCTTTAATCTAGAAAGAATATAGAATCAGATATTCTAATTTACAGATTTTAATATCTGTAAAAATTTTTTACACTGATTCCAAAAAAAAATTTCCCGAAATTCATACATTTTCTGCACCATGCGTTCCAGCAGTGTAATACATTTTCTGCACCATGCGTTTTAGCAGTGTAAGTCCTGCGTGGCGACCTCACATATAATGCTATCTCTTGTTGAAGCTTATTTATCGTATGGGACATGTCGGTATGCAGGACTGTGGGCGTCTGAAATCGCTCGCTGTGTAATATCTGTTAGAAAGACACAGGAGTACATTCTCGGAATATGGTGTTGCCAGATTGGTCATTCGTTCATTCATTGCAGTCAAACCATTGTGTTTGTAACGATTTTGAAACATCACAATATAAGGTTAGCCATCCATGACATCATCTAGCATGTTTGAAGCAGATATTGAG